ACTACTATAGAGATCTGTTCTCCAAACATACTACTGAAGTGTTAGGTGATGTAATACCTAGGCATATCTTGAATTCTAATGATAGGGATCTTTTAGAAGGTCCAGTTACATATGCTGAAGTTAAGGAGGTGGTGATGAGTTTCAATCCAGACAAGGCACCTAGTCCTAATGGTTTTCCTGCCAGGTTATACAAAAAATTTTGGGCTATGGTGGATAAAGAAGTTGTTGCAGCTGTTCAACATTTTTTTGAATTCAAGAATATGCTTATTGGGGTTAGTTGCTCCTTCATTACATTGATTCCAAAGCTGGGGGATGTTGCTAAATTGGGAGATTTTGTGCCAATAACACTCTGCAACTTGGTTTATAAGGTTATTACCAAAATTATGGCAAATTGATTAGCTATGGTTTTACTAAAATTGGTTGGATTGGAGCAATGTGCCTTTGTGCAAGGAAGAAAAATTTAAGAGGCAGTAATCATGGCTCATGAATTGGTGAGGGACTTCAACAAGCCCAGAAATCTTGCTATGGCTTTAAAGATTGATATTAGGAAAGTTATGATTTAGTTTCTTGGGAAGATTTATTGACAGCTTTAAAGAAGTATGGTTCTGGGGGGAATTGGATAAGATTAATAGAAACAAATTTTCACTCCTCAAGGTACTTTATTTTGTTGAATGGCTCACTGTAATACCCCTAGTTTTGAAAGGGATATAATCAGACTTTTATTATTTATTTTATTGTTTTCAATATTTATTTTATTATTTATAAGTGCTTATGTGGCTGTGTGAATTTTAAATTACGTGATGTGTGAATTGACTGGTTGGTTTAATTTAATTATATGTTTAATTTGTATTTATTTGGCTTACTTGTTTATTTATTTTATTTTGTTCTTACTATTATAAGGAATTGTTTAATTAGGTAATTAAGTTAAATGAGTTTTTAAAATACGTTCAGTACTTAGGGTTCTTTGAGAAGTTACGTATGTTGGCCAACGTAGATTTTAAATAGGGTTTTCTATGGGCCGACTAGGATTTAGCGTAGGGTTTGAATTGAACCTAGGTCTTGTGTAAACCTATAAATATAGTTATGAAGTTCTGCCTAGGGTTTTAGAACCCTATTCACGATAGTGGAGGTAGGGAAGGAACATAGGAGGATTTCCTAGTTCGCCGGAGAAACTTAGAAGACGACGTTGGGATTTTTGAACCGAAAACTCAAAGGCAAGTTCTAATCCTAACTCTATCCCGTTGACTTGTGTTCTTTGCATGTCTAATTCAACTCCAGGATTAAATAAGAATCAAACTTAAATTGGATTATATGTCTTTGTTATTTTCCACTAAAGATAGCCATGAGTATACTGCTTGTTTTATGATCTTTCGTGTTTAACTCATAAACTAATTCATAGAACTGGATTTATAATGCATGTGAATTGATATAAATAGAGTTAAATTAGCTTGTAATACCGGAAGATATTAATCTGGTTTGCATGTTTAGGCTAATCTATAACGGTATATGTTTATAGGTTTGGTTTTTGTTTGTTTTAATCTCTTTCTGGTAGAACTCTGTTCTAATTAGAGTGGATCTTGGATTAATGGTTTTTAAAATATCTGGGGCATTAGAACTTAGTTTTATTTAGTAAAATCATTAGAGCTGAGGATTGATCAAACTAAACGTCACCGGAGAAGACGTAGTTGAAGAGAAGAAGCAGAGAGGAGGGGACGAAGTTGGAGGCGGCTCCAAAATATTTTGGAGCCAGCTCAAAGTTTTTAGGAGGAGGCTCTAAGTGAGTTGGAGCTGGCTCCATCTTGTTTGGAGGTGGCTCTAACTTGTTTGGAGCCGGCTCCTTCAAGTTTTTTCCAGTTTTTGATGTTTCGACGACCGTTTAGGCTACGAGGGTTGGATTTTGGAGATTTCAGATCCTATTTGAAGGTATAATTGGGGTTTTCAGTATGTTCTAAGGCCATATTAAAGTTTCCAAGGGTTGGTTAACGTGGATTAAAACGCTGGTGTTTATAGTAAAACAATGCATAAGTTGTTAGATGCAAATCTAGTTACCGTTTTTGGAGATGTAGAGGTTTAATTGCCTATGATTTAATTTGTAGTTTACAGTGGATGGTTACACCATACTAGTCATGGAACAGTGGTAGGAATAATCATTCTTAAACTTTAATCACTACTAGCTACGGATTAACTGACGTATAGAATTTAATGACTTGCTTCAGTTAGTGTTGGTTTGGTATAATAGTAAGCATATGAATCTGTATATTCTATTATGCTATCTTGGATTTAAATTGATATTTATATGTATGACATGAATGATCAATTACTGGAACTTAGTTGCTCAGTTATGCTTAATGGGAATCTAGTTGTTAAATATACAGTATTGTGTTTTATAGACTTACTGAATATCTTGGAATAGTTTAAAGTGAGCATGTTAATTCTGATAATGTTATTATTATGCTCATAGTGAATTATAGAATGGATTATACCTATTCTCCGTGTTTTAATCTTATTGGGGAATCATGTTTTGGTAGAACAGAACAAGCATGTTATACACATATACTGGTTATACATGTGATGGACTCTTGTTATTTTTATTATGGATTAGTTGGTATTTACATATATATATTTGTATTATCATTTATTGGATGGATGGATTGTATGCACTGGTATGGGACGGTGGCATACTAGGGATGGATTAGTAAAACACTAAATCCTACCTACTCCGGAATAAGATGGATTAACTACAAAAGTTAAGTCCTACTTATAACTAGGTGTCAGGTCAATAAACTTTTTGAATGACACACTTGGAACGGACTTTATATATTTATGTTATGGTACCACGATATGAGCTTGAGTCTTAGAGTCGACGGTTAGGAAGTGTATATGCAGTAAGATGCAAAGCTGGCTATGATGGTTAGATGTGTACCCTGCTAGGTCTAGGTAGTCATGCCCACCTCAGGTGCATTTTGCATGATGCCTACTAGTCAGGTTGAGACGGGCCTGTAGTCCAGTGAGAGTCCTGTAGTGTGAATATATATATATATCTACAAACTATTTAGTTATTGTTGAGTTGGTTAGAATGTATATGCGTATCGAGTCTCTGCTTAGATTGTAGTAGGTTAGAACTTGTTCGTGGGCCTGACCCACCTCTATTTTTCAGGTACTCGTCAGTTCTAGACATAGACTTGATCGTGCTAAGCAGAGACTACTACTCACTCTTCCGATGACGTAGGACTTTTCTCCATGGTTTACTCTAGATGTTCTTTAAGTAGCTTTCATTTCAGTTTAGATTATTATTAGGGGTCCATTAGAGATGGATTCCCGAGTTGTTTTAGAATTAAAGAAGTTGGATGTATCAGACTAATTATTTATTTATAAAATTTTATTCTGAGGTTTTTTTCTATAAAGGATTTGCATTTTAGTTTCTTTTCAATAAATTTTTATTCATTCCTGCTATCTTAATTGTATTCTGTGTTCGTTAATTGCTAATTGGTTTGATATCCTCGGGTAATCGGGAGTGGGCCTAGCCAACCCGCATCCGGAAATCCGGGGGTATCACACTCACCTGAAGGATTCTTCCATCCAGAGAGAGGATTGAGACAGGGATGTCCATTAGTAATTGGGTCATTGATTGTTTGATTTTTATTTTGAAGATTTACCAATTAGTAATTGGGTCATTGATTATTTAATTTTAATTGGGGACTTGGTGAGTTACCCAATGAAAAGATTTAATGGGTTTAATTTTTGTTGCACATATAATCTTGTTGAAGATTAATTAGTTGATTTAATTTTGTTACATTAGATATTTTTTTATGTCTAATGGATTTATGATGAAGAGGGAGCAGTGTCGGAATGGACAGAGGAAAAGATATTTTGATGATGATTTTGGTGCAGGTCTTAGGAAATGATAATGGGTTAGTTTGATTTTTTATTTTTGTTGCAATTGTAGCATCAATGAGCACAGTGAGCCGAGATTGGGAGGAGACAGGAGATATTAAAATTGATTATTTGAGATATTGGGTCTTGAATTTGAGATTTTACCCAATTAATATTTTAATTGGTTTTGATTTTAATTTTGTATGTTGAAGCTTCTGGACAAAATTGGTGGAAGGAGACTAAATGGGTTTTGATTATTTTGCAATTATATGTATATATTTGTTGCAATTAGATGGTAACATAGAGATTTGGAGATAAAAGTGATCAGGCAGCCAAACTGAGAAAGAAAGAGTGAAATTGTGATTATTTTTGTGGGCCCATTAAAATGATATTTAATGGAGTTGATTTTGAGGTTTTAATTGATTTGATTATTTTTGGTGAGGTGGCCGAAATTGGAAGCAAAATGGGTTTGGTGTTTTGATTTTATATATATATATATATATATATATATATAAAATCATATATATATATATATATATATATCATCTCTTGAACAAGAAGCAAAAAGGGATGGCTGCCGAGTTTTTTTGTGGAAAAGAGAGAAAAAAAAAAAAAAAAAAAGAAAAAGAAAAGGAAAAATAAAGAAAAGGAAGGAAAGATAAGAAATGATTTGGTGGGTCCCATTAATTTGACTTGTTGGTTACATTTTCTTAGGCATTCATGTGGCTTTGTCTGATATCTTTTGGATGGAAGTTGTATTCTTTGTTTATGAAATAAAAAGAATGAAAAAGGAAGTAAGATGGTTAATGGTCTTGCGGGTCCCATTTGAAGAAATATATGGGTTTTGGTTTTTGTTACTTTAGTGTGTGTGTGTGTATATATATATATATATCTCTTGTCTGAAGGAGCTTGCAGCCGCGGGAAAGTTGAAAGAAAGAAATGGAATTAATGTAATGATGAATAGCTTTTTGCTTTTTGACCAAGTGCATTATATAAGGAAAATGTGATGATGGAAAAGTGAAATAGAAGGTTCCAGCAGAAATAGGAGACTTTTTGGCCAAAGGAAAAGATTTATCTAGTGGAGGCGTGGGGTGAGCAATACTGATGTCTATGCTGTGTCGGTTCATTTGCCTTTATATGTATCAGTATCTGCCTTATGAAATTGAGAATGAATTTGAGTGCATAAAAATATTGAGGAAAGTTAGAATTATACAGAGAGAGTTTTGAGGAAAAGTTCACAGAGAGCCGGAAGTTTGATGCCCAGATGTTACAGTGATGATTTATGTTTCAGTGTAAGGATTATCATACCTTGAATGGCTTGGATGATTTGTTTCAATTATTTTTATTGAATGATATTTTGCTAAAATTGCATATATTTATTTTGTTTAAATGTATATGTATCTTTTTGTAAAACGAATTTTGCATGAAACTTCTTGAAATCCTTGTTATGGTATTCCTACTGGGACTTCCCTGTCTCACCCCCCTACAGTTTCAGGTACCGAGGATGCTTGAGGATTTTTAGTAGCGGGCTTAGGTGGAAAAGATGGTGTTGAGGATTAAATTATTTTATTTAGAGATTTTTATGTATTTATTTGAGGAAATTAATTTAGTATCAATTTAATTAATCTGAGATATTGTCTTATTTATTTGAGGAAATTTGATTGATTTTGTATCAATAAAGGGTATTTTATTTCTTTTGAGATCCTGGGTGTCTTTTATGAAGTATTTTGATTTAATGAAATTGAGGATTTTATTTAGAAAAAATTCGGGGCGTGACAGAAACTGCCCCAGAATGAAAATATCTTCTAAAAGATATTTTCTTAGATACTCCTGAAATAAAAAATCTTTAAAAGATATTTATGAAAAACACCCTAAAAAAGGAAAAAGATTCTGAAAAATTATGCATCCATGACCCTATGGACACCGGTAGAACCAGAGTATTTTTCTGCAAAAGTGAAGATACGTATTTCGAGAAAACCACTTACGACGAAGGTACATGAAGTCAGAAATCAATTCCGAGCACAAAAAGTGAGGTTATGCCAAACAAGTGACAAATGGGGAAAAGACATAACAGGGAAAAGGACGAAATAGGGAAAGGGACAAAAAGTGAATAGTGTCAAAAAACGAAAGATGTGGAAATGACTCGGTCCTCAAAGGAAGTTGTCAATCCAAAGGAAAGAGTCTCAGAAACCATTTTTGAGCACTCGAGACGACACTAAGAGGTTAGAAATTGAACTCAAAAAAAGAAAAGACAACGGAAAAAATTTATCCGTAAAATTTGAAGAAAGGGAAATGAATGAAAATGACCAGATCATTACATTTTGTTTAACTATTCTAAAGTTCAATTAACATAAAATGCAATTAAAATAAACTAAAGTGAGCTAGGGGTTTAAGAGATGAGAAGAGAGGCTTAGGGCATTGGAATCACCACCAAGCTCATTCACTAATCCACATACTTTCAACTTATTGGGGGAAACATTCTTGTGAACAAAATACGACTACCAATTGCGTTATTAAGCATGGACCATCAAATTCAAGCGTAAATTTTCTACCTCACCAACAAGTAAACTAAGTGTAGCACAACCCATCAAGTTTAAGCATGACCTATCAATTTAGTAACAATTATAGCACACATCAATTTTGAGAATCATGGAAATTACAAAAATAAGCCATGGAATATCAAATTTAAGCCTAGATTATCTACCTAATAATAAATAAACTAATGTGTAGCACAACCTATCAAGTCTAAGCATAATGCATCAAATTAATTGACAAATCTATTCAATGAAAACCATATATAGCCATCACTAAATCCTCAATTAGTCACACACAAATATGCAACCAACAAAGAGTATCTAGTGTAGAGATCGATTCTCAAATAATCACACATAAGACAATATGTAATCACATAAAGAATCAATAGGAAGAATTAAACCATAAAAATCAAATGAGAACCTAAGATTCATTTTATAGACAAGGCTACAGCACTAATCATAAGATAAATTCCCTAGAAAGATGAAAGATATGGGTTTAGATTACAAGATTGGGGCTTATCCAAGCCTCAAGGAGAAGTCTAACCAATCATGGAGGAGGTGGATATGGTCATGGAACCTGTGATACCCCCCGACTCCGAGACATAGGTTAATCAGGCCCAAGTCCAAACCCGAGGGAATATCAAATAATTAAAGTATTTAAACGAACACAGAATACAAAATGAAATAAGAATAAAGAATAAAGCTGAAAGAATACTAATTAATAAATCCTCATTAATTAATCCAATAATAAACGTTTAATAACAAAATCCTCTAATACCAGTAATTAATTAAAATTACAACTTGACAATCCATCATGTGGAACCCTAATCTAAAATCTAATTGAAATAAAATGATATCTGACTAAAATAATAATAAGGAAATCCCACGTTAAGACGAGGGAGTGAATAAATCGTCTCTATTTAGCACGAATAATCTCTAAGCCTGGAACTGATGAACACCTGAAGAATAATGGTGGGTCAGGCCCACAAACAAGTTCTAATCTACTACATCCCAAATAGAGACTCAGAACTCATATACATCCTAGTCAATCCAACAATAACTACATAGTCTGTATATATATAGATACACACTAAAGGAACCTCACTAGACTATAAGGTTGTCTCAACCTGAATAGTAGGCAACATGCAAAACGCATATATAGTGGGCATGAGTACCTAGACTTACCAGGGTACACAACTGTGACGACCCTGGATTTTACAAACCCAGTGTGTCTTGTGATGACCCAAAACGGATCCAAAATACGGAAGCTAAATAGAAACATGGGCTCTAAAGATGTACACCATCCCTAAGACATAAAAGTGGCTTCTTGATGAGTCCCGAGGCTCAATAGAAGTAAGGAGGAAACAAGGATTCCAAAACCCTACAAGAAATGGACCAAGGGTAAAATGGTCATTTTACCCAGAAATGGGTGCCACCATGAACACCATTGGAAAAAAAATGAAAAATTAACAAGTTTAGGCTCAAGAATCACTTGATTCGGAGTTCGAACAGAAAAGATATGAAGATAAAACAAAGTGGCATTCTCCGATTAAGAGATACCACAACCCTATCTCAATAAAACTATCATAACTCTCACTAAGGTTGGATTTTTTGTGTATGACTGATACCATTGGAAAGCTAACTTCAAGTTCTTGAAGTTAGGCTTAAGAATCACCCAATTTGGTTTAAAAATGAGGGAGATATGACCTTCTGAAATTGGCTCAAGAAAGCGTTCCAAGAAGATGAAAAGAAATCAAGCTTCAAGGGATCAGCCGACTGACGGCAAGGATCAACTGGCCGAAAGTGCATCATCAACCGGCTGATGGCAAGGATCAGCTGGCTGAAATGACCTATTTTAGGTGCAAACTCACTGGAATTGGTCTCGAAAGGCTATCAGTCGGCTGATGGACCTTGTCAGCCGACCGACGCAACAGACAACAGCAAAAGCTGCTACGACTAAGTGTAGGGAAGGTGCTCGATCCACTCCTAATGCTATACATGCAACCCAAGTGTCCCAAAATGAGATTAAAAACATTCCATAGCTTCATACAAGCGTCAATGACATGCTAAATCAAAAGAGAAGCTTGAATCAACTCCAAAGCATGAATTTTTACATAAAAACTCATAAATCACCCTATGGAAGTTCCAAAACTAAGATTTAAGAGTTTTATGAGATGTGGACATGCACGCAAACTTAAAAAGACATTTAATACGCGTTCCAATGGTTCACGGCCTCAAAATACCCCTAATGCAAAATTTTGACTTCTCAAACCTCAATTTTTCATAAAATTGCCTAAAAAGGTGAAATACAACACCATGGCATATAAATGAAAATGAAATGGTGTTCGGCCCTTGGCCACACCTCATACATAGTAAATGAATACCAAAGAACAATATTCATACACAATACACACTTCGGTGCAAAAATGACATATTAAAATCCTTAATTTTCATATTTTTCACATTAAAGGCAAATTTCTACATTTGTGAATACACATGGATTTCAAATGAAGTTTGGCCCTTGGCCATATATCATATACAAAGAATGAGTGTCAAAAAGTATGCTTAGGCACACATTATAAGTTCAAGGCAAAAATGATATTTTTGACCTTATTACGTATTACAACTTTATAGGTGAAACTCAAGCATGCTAACACTTGCATGTGAACAAGAATACATTTAAAAGAACTTCAATTCAACGAAACAACCTAGGGATATTGTGCATCCCAAATCAAGGCATCCGTACCTAAAAACAACCCGATAACTTTGGGGTGAGTAAACAAGTTACTCGTAGGGAATAAGCATGCATTGACCTAACTTTTTACAAGGTTTTTACAATAACATGAAACATTCAAAAAGATCATGCTACCTAATGTCTATGTCATAAGTGAGACTCAAGGATGATCCTAAGCTACTCATGCAATTGAAATGAACTACGACATACAAGTATACATGCTCAAGTATACTAAACTGTATTAAAACATAATACACGACATACAAGCATCATTTATAAGTATACTAAATCATGCTAAATGAGATAAGCAATATCTAGCATACATACACAAGTATTTGATATATATATAGAGTACTCATGAATCAAGTATACAACCACAAATATACTAAGCTAAAAGAGATATACATAAGACAAGTATACACAACACAAGCATACTAAATGAAACTTAAACTAGGAAATGTGGTTGCTAGACCAATCAAGTATTTTTGGGTAATTACGACTCACAAGGTACCACCTAGTGCACACTTATAACTTAGAAGACTCTTGTCTCCGTACTAAAGCCAAACCCTAGCCATCATATAAATTATGTCCTCACAAGCTTTCTAAAATTAATAAGTCCAAAAATTATACAAAATTAAATGCAAGTTACCACATTCCATGCACAAGTAAGGTTGAATCCACACAAACCATATCCTAGAATTCAAGTCTATATAACATATGACATATCATGTCCTCAATATGCAATTTATACACAAAATAAGAATATTTTACAACAATTGAGCCAAATTACCATCCTAAGCCACAAGTACTAAATAAGCTACAATTTAGTAACAAGCTTTTAAGGTAATCAATTGTAATATTCTAAACAAGCTATATACCTACACAAGATATATTTAAACAAGCTTTGTAAGACAATGGTATCCTATATCACACTAAGTCCAATTACCATTTTTAGATGCCATAAGTACTAATTCTACATCTAATTAGTAATATGCTCACAAGGTAATTTATTGTACTACATTTCATGAGATTATCACCTTAACATGAAAAGTCTCTAGATTTCAAGTCAATTCCAAGTAAGCTCAAATTAATATATGTTAAAGGTCATAACATGGTCTTCACAAATATCATACCCAAAATCAATTTAAGTGACTACAACACTTAAAATAAAATTAATTAAGATAATTAATTTAATTTTTTCTAGATTTTTAAACAACTACAAATGTCCTCAAATTAACATAGGTTAAAGAACACACCAATGCCTACTTTAATATCACATTACAAGTTGATTTCATGCTTATTACAACTATGTGAATTAAACTTTCATAAAAGATAATTATTAAATAAAATTTGCAATTCTTATTCAAATGCTCCCAATTTAATATATGTTGATAAACATACCAATGTCTAATTTACTAGCATGCCACAATTT